CATCCAGCCTGGCCTGGAATGCCTGCAGGGATGGGGCATCCACAGCCTCCTGTTCCAGTGCCTCACCACCCAAATACCAGTTTTGCTTCTCCCAAGTATTTCAATAGCACAACAGTGCTCTTTTATAGTGCTGTTATGAGCACTATGATGCATGAAGCACATTTACATTTACTGCTTCTTTCATGTATGTATTCCTTACATCTATCAGTGTATGTATGAATGGGTGTTTTCATTTTCTCCTACTATTGCATATTCCCAACTGCTAGGAAACCATCTTAATATTTGTTCTACATGAAATCCACAAAACCCAATAGAATTGAGGCCTCCTTCTCCCATTCTTGCTCCTCAGAGCAAGATTTCTCAGCTACAAGAGCTAACAGACCATAATATTGAAGTAATGATGACTTTCAGAAGCTATCCCATGAAACATTCAGTTTGCACGGATATTAAGAAGTCATAAGTGTTATAAGGAAGCAGATGCACACAGAGTGCTTGAAATGTCAGGCTGATCTGGATAAGTGATACGTGTTGCTGTTGTCTCAAAGCAAAGGAATATGAAACAAAGGCACCACTCAGAATACATCAGCAGTCAAAATATGTAGGAAAACCTCCTGTTAGATGCAAGGGCAGCTTTGGAATGCAATCAGTGCTTGAGCCAGTGCACCATTGGAAGCTTACTGGTCCAGCAGTTCCTATGATGAAGGCAGTTGAATCACAGCTACAAATACCAGTGTTATGGAGATTGGTACCTGGTTTTTGTTTCTGTTTTTTTCATGAGAAGTTTAAACTTGGAGCACTGCACAGCTATCATAGGTCTGTTTTCATTGATTTACAGGGGAATTAATTATTAATCATTTGCATGTGGTTTTGTACAGATTGCTTTCAAACTGCATTCATTTTCTAAGAGTTTCATCTTTCCAGGGGAAGTATTTCAGCCTTGACTGCAGGACAAACCGAGCTGTGCATAGTCCTGCACCAGTGCAGTTAGGCTCTAGCTGAAGTAACTGCTAGAACTGATTGCCAAGGATGAAGCCCTGGGTTTCAATAATTGCAAGCCTCCAATGGCCAGGCGTCTCACAGTCACATTCTTTGAAAACCTATGAGGGAATTTCATTGAAATGAACTTCATCTGGAACCCCCCTGCATCACTGCAGTCTATAAAGAACTGTACATGTTTTCTTGTTCTGGAGTTCCAGCAATTTCACACTTCCCCTGTTAGTCAGGTGATCTGTTCCCATGTTTTTATCTCATTTCTGCAGCTTTCAGTGCCTGTATAAAATCTAACACCTGTCCCTTGAGTGGGACTTCAAAGCATTCCCATGCTAAAAGCAAGCAGTGCATTACATCTGCGTCACAACTCCATTGCCACTGTAGCACATGGGCTTCTTCAGATGGCATAGCAGAAAGACAGAGCGTGTGACATTGTCCTTGAGACAGCTGGAGTTGCTGCAGATAATGCAGTGACCCTGACCAAAATAACATCAGCTATGTATTTATAACATGCTCACACTTGTTATTTCATTTACAGATTTGTTTGGAGACTCCTTGAACGTGTTGTGGAAGCAGGGAGATATTTATAACTGTCATCAAGGGGTTTCTTGCTGCAGCCAAGCACTGAATGGCAGACTTCTTGGTGATGCCCTTTGCAAGAAGCCTAGCTGAATTCTAAAGAATAAGCTGAATCAGCTCTAGAGAATTCAATGAATTTATATATATTTTATGAAAAATAATGTAATTAAAAGGTCAAAATGAGTGACAGCAGATGACTGAGGTCAAATGGCACTAGAAGTGGCGTGGGGTGTTTAGAGGATATGAGATGATGTGGGATTACTTTCTGCCTAAGCAAGGAACAAAGTGGGATCTGTTGGTGGTCACGGGTGTAGTGGGACAGGTGGAGCATAGGGCATCGGTTCACTCAGTCTGGATTCTCATTTGTTACAGACAACCTGATATTGTATGATGTAAAGAAAGTTCTGTGTTGCTATGGAAGAAAGCAGATGAAGGGGTTTTGATTACGTGTTGTCCTGCATGGCCTTCGTGCTGTGATGTGTTCAGGTGTGCAGAGGGAAGCCAGGTCAAATGCTGACTGCATCTGCTTTGGAAGGAGACACTCCTTGGGTCAGTAGAACACAGCTGCTTGGTGCAGGCTTCTGATTTCTGATGCCGGGTTTTGCTTATTGATGTCAATTATTTTCAAAGACAATTCTGCAAAAGGTGAGGCTCAGGCAGCACTTCAGGGCTGTGGAGAATGAAGGGAATACAAAACTCCTTATCTCATTGTTTGGGAACATGACCTAGATTTCAGTACCCACAGCTACATGGAGAGAGCAGAGCCTTTTTATCCTTTTATTGTCCAATCTGACTCAAAACTCCTACAATACACTGATTCTCATAGCAAGAAATACCCTCCAAGCATCTTGGTGTGTTGCAGGTACTTTTCTACTGCATTCTATCTACTGTGATGTTAGATGAAAGCATCCAGGAGCAGGAACAGTCCAAGATAGGTAAAGTAATTGTAAACAACCCACCTGTGCAGTCAGTCTTTGGGCGTGCTGAGAGCTGGGCTCAGCTGCTTTGCAGACAGCAGTTCTGCTCAGATCATGACACTCATTAATGCTTTGTTCTACAGCTGGTGTAGAAAATTGTTTTTTCCTGTACTTCCTGTAAGGAAATGGAGTTTGAGGTGGCATATTCACTTGGATCTGGCTTTTCTGTCCAAACATGTAATGATCTTTTCTTATTACTCAGGAACTTCCTCTTCAGACAAATTTTCAGTAGCTTATATTCATTTTCTTGCTGTTTCTATGCAATAGCAGTAACTGCTTTTATTACTCTGATTTAAAGAGAACTTTTCTGCTTTTCTAAAATCTGCCAAAAAAACACACAGGCCTTGTTGTCCAAGCCTAGTGCTTTTCACTTCTCCTGTATTTCTCATGGATTGAAACACAGCAAGGTAACCATCCCCATCCTCTTTAGTTTGCCTCTCCTATTTCCCCCTTGAGTTTCTATTTGAGGACAATAAGGACGAGGTGCTGCCAACCCCAACTTCTCACAGAAGAAAGCTTTGTACAGGGAGCTTTATCATGAGCTGTGCAATGCAGAAGTTCTTCTTCTTCCATCTGTGCAGGCACGCTCTGGGGCTCCGGTATGTCAGCCTGTCTACAAAACATGAGATAAATACAAATACTGCAGGTTCCCCATTTCCAAAAGTCTCAGAGGATGTCTGAAAGCAGGAGGATCCTCCACCTTCCAGGCCAGGGGGGTTCAGGGGCTGCAGAGCACATTGCTGCACCATCTGCCGTGCTTTGGGCTCAGAGGAAGAACGTCGCTTGTGTTCAGGTGGCAGCCTGCCTAGAGGAAGCCATTCAGCCTTGGGCAGACTGACTGCAGTCCTGTTCTGCTGGCAGCTTTTGTTACGTTGTGGGGGAGAGGAGAATGGAAAAGGAGGCTAGCAGCAGAACTGCAGGAAGATAGACAGATAAGGCAGATAGAGGATGGCTTTTAAGACTCAACATTTAGTAAGCTCATCATCATTACGGGCCCACGTAAGTCAGGGTGATGCATGAATCCCTCGCTGACTTGGCTAAAGCTCCCTGTCACATCAGCATAACAGCTGGGCTGCATCCAGGTAAGCAGTCAGGTTTGCACCACTAGGGCTAGAAGCCTGGGGTTTGTAATAAAACCTAATGCACTGTAGCAATTCAACCACAAGGAAAATGAAAATCATAAAGCAGAGGCACACATCCCTTCTGCAGAGCAGCACAGTGCTGGTGCTTTGCTGGAGCTGTGCAATAGAAGCCTCCCGTGCACTGCACACACAGCAGTGCAGTCAAAAGCTGTTTTGTGATCATTAGCAAAGAACAATGCGAGTCCAGCAAAGCAGCAGCACTTCTCCCATCAGTAATGCACATTTCTCATATTTCCTCCTTGCATTCATATCCTCAGCAGCAGATCAAAGCTGTCTTGATAACGGTGATACAGACTTCATTCCTTCAGTGCCTGTTCCATTCTACCCCTATTTATATACTTTCCCCATTCTCCCTCTTGTAAATGAGCTAACTGGGGATATGCAATGAGCTATGCTTTTACTCCCTACTACCACATTATATTCCTCACCATTTTTAAAATGTGGACATTTTTGCTTTCCCTGTGAAGAACGTGGCTCTAGGCATCCTTCAGTAGTGCAGCGAGGCATAATAGCTGTTAGTTGGCATATCTGCTGAAGAGTTGGAGAGGAAAGGCTGAAAGAGGTCAGAATCAAACCTAAGGAGGAGCATTTGTTAAACCTAAGTTGTCATTTTGACCAGAAAAAAAAGGCAGCTGTAGTTGTGTACATGGGGAAAAAAAAATAAGGTGTAGAAAGCACTGAAGTGCAGAAGAAAATTCAGTATCCCTGTTAGCCCTTTTTGGAGTGAGGATGTGTGTTCAGAAGCATTAGTAGGGAAATGTTCCTGTAGCTACATGCTGAGTTCAGCAGTCATGCTTTGAATTCTCAGAATCACAGCCATCAGGTCGCACCACAGAATCATAGCATGGCCTGGGTTGCAAAGGAGCACAGTGCTCATCCAGTTCCAACCCCCTGCTGTGTGCAGGTCACCAACCAGCAGCCCAGGCTGCCCAGAGCCACGTCCAGCCTGGCCTTGAATGCCTGCAGGGATGGGGCATCCACAGCCTCCTTGGGCAACCTGTGCCAGTGCCTCACCACCTTCTGAGTGAAAAACTTCCTCCTAATATCCAACCTAAACCTCCCCTGTCTCAGTTTAAAACCATCACCTGGAAGAGTGAAAATGGAACAGCATAATGGGGGGGTGCTCCAGAGGGCTGTGGAATGGCTTTTGGAGAGTGTCAAACTCTGTTCTTTTGTTTTTCCTGAATTTCATACATCCTAAGCCTAGAAATAACCCTTAAAACATTTTCCTCAGGCATTCGGTCTCTGTCCAGAGCAACAGAAGGTTTCATCAATATTCCTCTGATTTGTTTCCCTCTCCTCTTCTTTGCAGGTCTCCATGAAATCCAGTGTTCCCTGCCTGTAGAAAATAGAAGAATCTTTCTGAATGAATTATCTGAGGTCAGCTTTAGTGAATGCAAATTTAGTTTGTCATTGACGGACCTTTTTATCATCATCTTCTCTGGAGTCGCAGTCTCCATTGCTGCAATTCTGTCAAGCTTCTTCCTAGCAACTCTAGTGCACTGCTTCCAAAGATGTGCTCCCAGTAAAGATGACGATGATGATGAAGACGACAGTGAGGACTGAACTTAGTCTATATGCTTAAATTTCCTTGGTTTATAAATTAATGATAGATCAGCAGCCAAAGTCTAGGAAGAAAACCAGACTACAAGTTTTAGACATGGTTAGATTAAATCGGTGTATAAGGTTCCATACTAATTCCATGAAGGTCACGGGAAGGAATCACAGTTTGCAGCTGAGACTGTTACTTGCATGTATAACCTGATGCAATGAGAGCAGATTAATTTCTGTCATCATTAGTCAAACGTTGCATTTAAATTTGAAGGCCAGAAGGAAAAGGGAGAAAGGAAAAAAACATGAAAATGTTCCAGTGTTTTAAAAGACTGTCAGCTTCCACGCTGTCCTTCTGATCAGATGCAGATCCTGTAAGCACTTTGTAGCTTGTTTTAAATGTGCACTTGGAAAAGGGCAGCTCAGCTGGAAATCTGGGTGCAATTTAAGAGTGTCTTTCCTACAGTGAATTAATGGGAGATTCTAGCAAGCTCACACAACTTCCTGAGTAACAAAACACAGTTGAAAGGATTCCTAGAAGGGTGGAAAGCATAGGGAGGTTGGTGGTTTCTCTCCACGAGTCTTCTCTCTGAATATGCATCCTTCTTTCAATGACTGACAGCAGCTGCAGACATTCAGCCAAATTTTCCTTTTCTAGAGGCAAAATGTGGTTGTGGATCTGAGTCATCCACTGGCAGCTGCCTGACACCTCCTTGGCTATGGCAAAAATACGAACCATAACGTTCTTTGGCATTTTCAGTTGCAATGAAATAAAGGAATTCCCTTCTGTGTAACGCTAGGCACAAGTAATTGTTGCAGTGTTCAGCCTGTTCAGCTGTTTTAAAACACTAAGGGCTACATTCTGCTTCTGGTTATGCCAGAGTGAACCAGAGGAAGTGAACACCGTGATCCTAACTGCATAAACAAGAGTGGAATCTGGCCCAAGATATTTCTGACTGTATTATAGATTTGTCAGAACTTGAGCTCTACTATATAGCATTAGTTATTTTTGTTAAAATGAGAAAAAAAAAGACATTTATTACAAGAGATTTTTGGAATAGTGCTGGACAGCTTTTTAGGATAAGTCTATTTTTAAAATATTTGTAATGGAAATATTTTTTTAAAGCTCTGTGTATTTCCAGTATTGTCTAGAGTAGCTGGGAGGGCTTAAGGTAAGAAATAACATAGTAATAAGCAATCTAAGGACTGTATGCTAGCATAAAAGAGCTGATTAACGTAGCATCTATTTAACTACTGCCAATGCTATAGTATTTCTTAAAAGAAAAACACTCTGGTTATAACATTGCCTTGCTCAGTTAATATGAGTGGTCCTTTATGGACACTTGGTCCCAAATGTCTTGTATCAGTTGTGCTAATTGCTCAGGCAGACAGGAGCACATCGCTGTGCAAGATCAGGGCTTAGGGCACCTGGCTGTTGTTCCTGAGCGCAGAAGACTTTCAGCAATTCACTCTTTCTGTCTGTGCCTCCATTTTCCCACCTATAAAATGAAGGTCACAGTAACTATTTATCATTTTAAAGAGCTTTGAGATATGCAAGGAGGGGGCACTCTATTGGGGCTGTATGCATCAGGCTCAAGCAGAAGCTATGGAATAGATCTAATGTGATCCTGTATCAGTGTGGCTTTGCTGGCATCAGTGGAGTTACTCCATTGGCTCACAGTGTTTGCAGTGGGGTTTGCACCACGCTGAGGTTAAAACCAGGGTGAGAGTGTTTACTTCTGTTAGCTCTGCAGCTTATTCAATGTGACTTAATGCTGCCATCGTTAACATTATTACTTCTAAAAACACACTGAGACAGAATGAAGTGGGACAGCGAGAGGATGTTCTGTATCAATGCTGTCTTCTGTTACTCTTTCAAGACAAATGCAATGACATGATTTTCACTGTGTAGTGCCATGTTTCAAAATAACACAAATATATTTCTAATTTCAACATGGGCTTTCATGTTTATTTGTATGTGGCTGTGATAAAGAGAAAAACAGCGTCTGATTCTCTTATTAAAAGGAGAGATTGTGCAGGATGGTTGGAAATACCCAACTTGTTGCCTGGTACAGTTCATGCAGCAAGCTCCCTGTGCAACAAATATGGATATGTTATCAACAGTTTTATATTTAGAGCTGTGCAAATTGTTCAGTGGTGGAATGAGAAACTGGGTCACACCTTTTTGGCTGCAGGTTTTATTATGGACTCAAAGCTTGCACCCACTTAACACAGTGATCTGTCCTACTGAGCTTTCCAGTGAGACACCAGTGAAGGTTTCAGCACATTTGTACTTTTCCTGTGGTCACAAATACAGGGTTTTGCTTCATTATCCTGTAAGGCTGACTAATTTTGCAGAGGTCGCATCTCAAACTCAACTATTTTGACTGGCTTCTGCTCTTACTTGCAGGTTCATCCCACTGCAATGCCTCAGAATGAAGATCTAGATTTGTTCTTAGTTTGTAGCATTTTGTTCAACCCAGCATAGAGCTCTGAAAGCCCTGATTTTATTTGGAGCTTAGCACCCCTCAGAACAGCAAGGAACAGACCAAGCTGACACCCACATAACCCAGTGCAAGCAGAGGAGCAAGGCTTAGTAAAGCTTTATTTATGAAGCTGCCATTTGGGACATTCCATCACATCAAAGAGATTTTACAAAGTATGTTTGTTTGTTTTTTCCAGATAAGAAACTTTAATAATATTTTATGCTACTGATTAATGTCTAATTCATTAGTATTGAATTCATCCAGTCAGAAATATTTATCCATTGTTGGCATCAACAGTTACATAGTATTTATATTGATTTTCCATATTTCTAATTGCTGGTAAATGGGGCAGAAATTAAATTTCATTCTTATTGGGATCCTTGTTGCTATACGTAACCTTCAGCACGAAACATCCTCTGTTGGTTGGTTGCCAGAACTGGTCATCACCATAATGATTCCCTGCAAATAGAACTGATGAGAAAGTGTCCCCAGGTTTGCATTACTGCAGATTCTCCTCCACAAAGGCAATGCTCGGAGGCTGCCCCATCTCCAGCTCTGTGGATGTGGGAAGCCTCCCTGTGAAGGGATCCTTCTGTGGATGGGATGCAGTGAGCTTGCACTCACACTGCACTGACTCCCATTGGTAAAGCTGCCAAGTGGACGAGCTGAATTTAGCTCCCTGTGCAATGCATTGCTAGCTCAAGAAACAGTGCCCATGCATTGTTGTAAACATGCAGTAGCTACTTTGTCCTCCTTGACAGTTTTCTTCTGCAATGGCTTAATTTTGGTGGTGGTATCGCCCACTGTCACCAACGAGCAGACATTTTACCTGCTTCAAAGAGGAGGAAAGATACTATGCATGACCCAAATAAAATGTTGCAGGCTCAGGGAGCCAGGAAGCAGCTGTCACATTGCCTGCAGATATGTCTCCTTGATGAAATGCTGGAGTTTGGTATGCGTGAGAATCCAAAAATGTGCAAGAAAGCAAATCTGCATAATGTAATTGAGATCCAGGCTGACTTTTTAGAAGTGTGCACGTTGAGTTAAGAAAATGTCTGATCCCCAGAACGTTAAAATTAAGATCACCTGAAGCGACTGTCCAACCCCAGCATTTCATCCTCAGTCAGCCTGTATCTTTTTGAGGCAGCTTCATTCCTGCTGTGTTCGTTCCTCTTACTCAGATGTGAGCATTAATGGGTCAGCTTTTGGAGCAGCATAAAAACGCATTGGGAAAGTACCTTGAAGGGATGGTTCTGGAAGCTCTTAAAGAGGAGCATGCTGCTTCTCTCCCTCAAATGCATAGTACAAGTGAGCCACTGTGCTCTGACAGCTACAATTTAGCCCAGCTTACTTAGGGACAATCTAAAATGGTCTTGTCTTCCTGCTGTGGGAATGACTGTGTGCAGTCACCTGTAAATATGGATAGGGTTGCACACACTTGTGCAGCAGGGAGGGAGTGTGTGTATAACAATACTAGAGCTTGCTGTAACTATCACCCCTGTAGACAGCCTCAGTGGAACAGCTGAAGCCTGATGGAGATGCTGAGCCTGAGACAGTGCTTCATCCCTAGTGGAGGTCCCTCTGTGCTGGCTTTCAAACCCATGGGAGCAACTCTGTGCAGGACTGTTTACTGATTCAGCATGTGCAGCCTACACACTGCGTGAGTAAATGAACTTAGTTTCCAAGTGGCCAGCTGGCACACTGCTAACTTAAGCCCAAAATAAAGGGCTTGGGATAGTTTCTGAATAGAATAATTCCTCTTAAAGGAACTATGGAGTAATGTTATTTGTGCTGTAACCTGTTTTTACTGACCTCTAGCTGCGAATGAATTGCTTTACTGTGGAGGTAAGTCGTGGTGATTCATTGTGGTGAATCTTCATGTGTATCTTCACATCTTGTCTGCATCTTAAACAAGATAAATCCAGCTTGGTACTATCTCTGCAGTGTGCAGCAATGCAAATCACCAACAACCATCAGCAGCAGACTAGGAAAAACACTCTTTTGTTCACACTGACCAATCATCCATCTACAACTGTAAATAATTAGCAGGAGAAACCTATTGGATCTTAAACTGACAGAGAGGGTGACAGGTGTTATGATGCAAAACAGAGTGCCTGAGTTATGAGGTGTGTCTCCAGTTCCCATCAGCTCTCACGGCTCACCAAGAGCTCCATGAAGACATGTAACTTTAGGTTAGCAGGCATTATGTGCTTTTTGGGGGTTTGTCAAAAAAACATACGAGTAAACTCTTCAGAACAAGCTTTTACTGTTGGTTTTGTGGGAAGTGAAAAGTTCAGAGGGAGGTGAGCAGCAAATAAGGGGTGAAGATGACAGCTTGGGTTGGAGTTGTTCAGCAGAGCTAAGTTTGCTTCACAGCAGCATTGTTTTGATGCAGAGCTGCTTTTTCTCCAAGCAGTAAGTGGGTACTAAAGGTTAGCCCTTCACACCAGGTATGAAATGGCATAGCCTCTTAAAGAGTAACTCAAACTCAAAGAAGTACTTGCTGGTAGAGTTTTTAAAGCTTGTTGCTCACAGCACCAGTTGCCTATTGGAAAGCTTTAGTTTGAATCTGAAATGCAATATGCCACTTAATAGGTTGCACAAAGGTCTGAAAGTCAGGAACACCCATACAGACAGTGGTGCTGGTGAGATGTGCTTCAGCTGTTTCACCGATCTGAGGTCATTCTTCCAGCTGATGTGACTGGAATGTAAGCAGTTGGACTTCGACTCTCCTTTTCTTTTTCTTTCATCACCACCAGCTGAGGAAAGCACAGGATGGAGGCACTGTGCAGCACCTTACAGCTCCCCTTAGCTACAGAGAGCAAAAATAGGATTGAGTAGATCAGTAAAGCCAGCTTTGTGACCTTTGCTTAAAATCTGAATGTGATACAGTCTGGCTATCTGACATTCCAAGGCATAGCTTGTGTTGTGTAGGGCTTCTGCTCTTTAATGAGGGCAGGTGTTGGAAGATTTTACAGTAGAAATAATATTTAGACTTCTTGGTACATAGCAGGGAATAAATAAAATGAACATATTTGACAAACAGTTCTGGTCTATTTTTGCTCACCAATTTTTCTCAAATTGAGTGACTGTCGCTCTCTTAAGAGTAGATTAGGTTTGCAATCTGCAGTGGGTTAAAGTATTACTCTTTATCCTTTCAAGATCTGTCTGCAAATGTGAATTTGGGTCACAGAAGGAAATGACCAGAATAAATCCCTTATGGTCATCTTAGTCAGCTGGGCAAATGCACAGAGATGCTGTTATTTACAATATTAACAAACTATTATTGAAGATGGAAAAATATTTCATAGACTCACGGAAAGCCCGGGGTAGCAAAGGAGCACAGTGCTCATCCAGTTCCAACCCCCTGCTGTGTGCAGGTCACCACCCAGCAGCCCAGGCTGCCCAGAGCCACATCCAGCCTGGCCTTGAATGCCTGCAGGGATGGGGCATCCACAGCCTCCTTGGGCAGCCTGTTCCAGTGCCTCATCACCCAAATTCCACTTCCCCAGACTCCAAATATAAACATGGCCCCTACTGGTTTTATAAAAGGTTAACCAGAGAGATATCACTAAGGAGAATGAGAGATTATTAGATGATGGAGTAATATTTTTGGAGGTGACCATAAATTGAGCTATTTGTTGAGCATCTGCCTTAATTTCAATGCGGTGATGTGAAAGCCTATGTGCTGGCACAGGAGGTGTGGGACAGCAGCAAGAAATCAGAACTTCTGTATCTTCACGTGGCAGAACAGAAGTAGGATGTTGCTCTATGAATGGTTTCACTGCTTTCTTCCCATAGCAAGTTGTAAATATCATTAACTAGCTGTGAATGTATGAACAAGCTTCAGATAAGGCTTTGTGTAGAAAGTGACAGAGGAGCAATATATACAAATATTCCATATTGCACTGAATAAGTGAAGGTTGGAAATTCTCAAAGTCTAATTGTAAATTGTTTCCAGCAGTGCTGTAATTTTGAAGCAGGCCTGAAGTAAGGTATTTTGTCCACAGCTTCAAAAAAAAATCATTTTTAAAGCAAAAACTGGAGGGAAAAAAAAAAAGCCTCTAGAGATTATTTAGTCTGGACTGGCTTTTTATAACAATCAAATTAAGAAGCCCTGCAATACTGGATTTCAGATGTTCAAGCCATAACCTCATGATCATTATACCAAATGACAAGAAAATCACTACAAATTTAGCAGTCTAATTTATGTTATTCCCTGGGGGAACAAAAGCCATTAGGCTGAGAAATTTGCATTGTTTTCAAAAGAAAGTATTTCAGGCAGGCTGATTTCCTCACATCCATTCCATAGTGGCATATGGGACGCAGCTTATTCACCCCTGAGCAACGTGTTGGTGAGCTCAGCAAAGGAAATACTTGCTTTCTGCTTAACCTGAGCTGTGCTTTAGCAGTAATACTTTTAGTTGGCCTCAATTCTCATTTCACTACTGCATTATTCAGGATCTG